GCCCCGGTCCGGTAGGGGGGCGACCCTGAGGGTTGCGATCCGTTGCCAGACACGAACAAAGACAAAAAGGAAAAAAAAAAAAAAAGTTCATGGAAAGATTCATATTATCTTTAATTCTATTTTTCCACGAACTTTTTAAAGTACCCTCATACATGTGGTTGGTTGACTGGGCAAGACAATCAAATCCATTTCTTTTCCTAGACTAACTCTGTACCTCTCGGTTGTAGTTAATTGTGTAAAGCAGGATTTCTCAACCTTAGCACTATTGACATTGTGGGCTGGGTGATTGTTGGGGGCTGTCCTGGGCATTCTAGGATGCTGAGCAGCGTCCCTGGCCTCCACCCACTAGATGCCATTAGCAACCTTCTCCAGTTGTGACAACCAAAAGTGTCTCCAAGCATTGCCAAGTGTTCCCCAGGGGGTAAAGTCATCCCTGGTTGCAACCGACTAGTGTGAAGTAAAGGAGGAAAAAACCTATTGTCTTAGAAAAAAAAAAATTGAGAAAGAATATAAATCCCCCGCCCCCTTGTTTTAGTGATCACTCTCCACTAGAATAGTTTAGGTTCTTTCTCCATGTACTTCCGGTGACTCTTAGTTCTGTGTTTTGACGTGGTCAGAAGAAGATTTTTGTTTATCCACTATTCTAATTAATAAAAAGTAATTATTCCTAATCTATAAAGAATTAGAATGACTTAAAATACATTGAACACTAATACTGCAGTAAATACAGTTTAATATTTCTCTGTGTGATTCACTTTAAGTTCTGTTTGGTTTCTAGTTTGTTCTTTTGAACATAAGCTATGACTGTTCCTGTAGGTAAGTGTGGTTATCTGGGGGTTCTCGTCAATAACCTCAGAGTCAGGCAGTTTTTAAATGTGGGCCAGTTAGTCCATTCTCTTATTTTATAGATGAGGGATCTGAGCAGCAGAAAGGTTAAATGGCTGTTCACCCACAGTCCTAGAGCTATTTGAGACGCTGGAACCAGAACCCTGCTCAGTTATTTAATAAAGTGCTTTTATTCTTTTACCTTGTTTAACCAGTAAAAAATGAATCAAGGTGAGCGCTTTGGGCACTGAACTTTAAGGGCCTCTGAGAATAGATCAGTGCACAGGATGACAAAAGATTCTTGTAAAATTTCTCTTAACCTCATCTGGGAAATAAAATACATTTCAAGGACATGATTTAGGGGAGACAAATAGATATGGGCCTGTTTGTGTTGCTTCTTCCCATAAATGACACGTTAAAGAGCACCTGGAGGGGTTTTCCGTCTTGTACGCACTTGTGCTAATCAACACAAGAGCCAGCCTAACAGTTCCTCAGTGAACGGTGCTGCAGACATTTATTTGCACATCCTTGCTCTCAGCTGTGGCATCAGGAAAGAACAGGAGTAACCTGGATTTTTCATCTTGGAAGTTAACATCCTTTTGGGTTATTTTAAATTGCAGCTTCATAAGTTTCTGTGTCCTCATATATAGGTATAATTTTTCACTTCGAAAATATCAATGCATACATACAAAAAATATTTATTGTTAAGAAATATCTGTAGTACATATGTGCTTGTTATATTCTTTTTGCTTCTTTTATGAACATGTGACATATTTTATAATACAAGTCACTAATTAGAAACATTCCTCATGGAAATTAGAAATTGATAATTACTCATCTGTAGAGAGAATGGTGAAATGTTTGTTAGTGTCGTAAAAATTACAAATAATAATACTGCTGTGTAGTACTCATCTGTAGAGAGAATGGTGAAATGTTTGTTAGTGTCGTAAAAATTACAAATAATAATACTGCTGTATAGTACTTGATCACTTTTTCCCCCCTACTTCTGAGTGTGGGAGAAATGTTCTTTTTTTTTTTTTTCCTTTTTGTCTTTTTTCGTGACTGGTAACCGGATCGCAACCCTCGGTGTCGCACCCGTACTGCGACTGGCAACGGGATCGACTCCATTTCAAGTAGGCAGGTAATAAGTGTTTTGTTGATAATCTAAAAGAAGGGGGTGGCTTGGGTGAGGAAGTCCCATCTCGGGAGCTGAGTCTGAGGAAGGACAGGCTTTCAGAGAGGAGCAGGGTGAGCTTTAGTCTGTGGCCCCGTGAGCCCGAATCAGGACCTGCAGAGTATCTACGAATGGTGGGACAGTGGCTGAAGAATAGTATGTAAGGAGGAATTTCACATCCTCGAGTGCCTTGGCTTTCTCTCGACCAGTCTGACTTTGGTTTTCTTATCTGGTTGTAAAATGCTGTACTATGTGTATGGCCATGCAGGATTGCAAAATATGAGGGTACTTCAAAAAGTTCATGGAAAAGTTCCTGTCATTTTTCAATTCTATTTTTCCATGAACTTTTTGAAGTACCCTTGTATTTTCAAACATTTATATTATTATTTTGGTATTATTACCATTTGACAGAAGAAGAAAATAAGGACTGCTATCCAAGGACTTATAACATGGTACGGCCAAGCTGGAGTGACAGCCAGAGGTGTTAGGGTCTCCTGCAGAGTGCTTTGCTAGAAGCTTCTTCCTTGTTAGAGGCAGGTGGCGTCCATTAGCTAATAACCCACTCTGTTATCCTTTACCCTCAAGTGTACCTGCTGGGCTCTGTTTTCATTTATAATGTTCTTCTGTCATCTGTGGAACAGCGTAGCAGTATATCAAAGCAGAATTCGTTTCAAACTGGAAGCAATTTATCATTTTCTTGTGGTGGTGAGACACGAGTTCCATTATGGCTACAGTCTTCAGAGGACATGGAAAAATGCTCAAAAGGTAGAGTGCCTGGAAACCTCTGCTTCTTTCTATCCTGACCCTCAAATGACACTGGTTTGGTATTTTACACTTCAGATGCATTTTTATCCTTCCCCTTCACAAGTCTACATTCCCTCCCATATTTTGCTTATTAAGGCTGTGCTCATTGTCAATGAAAGACACTTTCTTTGCAGAGCCTTATGTATTCACCTACGTGTGCGTGCAGACAGGTTTCCTTTTCTATTCTTTGAGTACTGATGCCTGATTTCCACATGGGCCTGTAGGTCACAGTCTCCAGGGCGGGGGGGGTTCTATTCTTTGAGTACTGATGCCTGATTTCCACATGGGCCTGTAGGTCACAGTCTCCAGGGGGGGATCTACACAGCTATCTTAAGTGCCAAAAATGATTCTGATGTACATCCAAGCTTGAGAATCAGGATTCTAGAGGTGAGTAGGTGAGCCCCAAAGGTAGGTGTTCTCTACCCTTGCTGCACATTAGAATCACCAAGAGAGCTTTTATAGTGCAGGAGTACCCACGCCCAGGCCTCTCTCCTAAAGAATCTCTTTAAATTGGTCTGGGGTCGGGCCCAGGCATCACCAATGTTCCTGTTTCCCAGGTAATTTGGATAAGAAGCAGACTTGAAAACTCCGGCCATAAGGAAGCGCAGCATTCTTGATTTTAATTAGCTAAGACTTACCCAAGGAACTAAAAATAGAAAAGATCACCAATGGGATTGGGAGTACTCTGATTTAATTGTCTGGGGTGGGACTTGGGCACATGTAATTTAAAAACTTTCTCCGGTTGATTTTAAAGTGTAGTCACAATTGAGAAACACTGGTTTTTTTGTGGTCCCCCCCCCAATTTTATTTTATTTTTTTATTAATTGATTACACAATATAATCATTTTTGGTTGTCCTTTAACAAATTCTTGCTGAACCTGCCTCCTAACCCTTTCCCACCTCTGGTGGCCTCAGTTCCATTCTCTCCTTTTGAAAGAAGAACCACTGTTAGAGATGCCAGGTGGTAGCCTTGAAAATTGCATATTCTTTTATTGAGTGCAGATATTATCACCCCTGGGGCCATGTAGGCTTTGCCCTTCCAATAAATATCACCGATGAGCTTCAATGAGTGACATCAGGGTGTAGTAGTCCCTGAAGTGTTGTCTCTGGGTCAGCAGCATTGGCCTGGCCTGGGAACTTATTAGAAATGAAGATTTTCAGGCTCAACCCAAATGTTCTGTATCAGAAAATGGGGGTGGAGCCCCACAATCTGTGGTTTAACAAGTTCTCCAGGTGATTTTGACAATACCAGTGTCTGAGAGCCACTATCCCAAGGCATTTTAACCTTGAATCATTAGCAGAAACATCCATCAGCATCCAGTGAACAGCAAATTGTGAACTAGCTTTTGAGTTAGTGACTGCGATCTGGTCTGAGAGAACACTTCTGTCTCCTCGGGTCCATCTGCAGAGACTCTATGTGGTCCTCATGCAGGTCCCTGATCCACAAAGTACAACTTTCATTTTCATTTCATCCACTTAATGTGTATTGGGTCCTTGCAAGTGGGTAGCAGCAGCCTGTTATTGCATGATTAGAAATAACGATGATGATGATGATGATGACTGGTTTTTATTTAGTTCTTGCTATGTGCCAGGCACTTGTCTAAGCACTCAGCATATATCAACTCATTTAATGCACAACTATCCTGTGAGCTAGGTGTGTAATTATCCCCATTTTCCAAATGTAGAAACTGAGACACAGAGAACTTAGCAATTTGCCCAAGAGTCACAGTTCATTACCTGGCTATAAACTGAACCATCGTGGTTCTCCAGATCCACCCCCTTAACCACTACAGTCTACAACCTTTCCTATATAGATGGAAGTAAAATTTTCTTCCCTTACAGAGAAAAAATCAAATACAGATGCTCTTCAACTTGCAATGGGGTTATGTCTCGATAAATTCATTGTAAGCTGAAAACATTGTAAGTCAAAAATGCTTTTAATACACCTAACCTCCTGAACATCGTAGCTTAGTGTAGCCTACCTTAAACATGCTCAGAACTCTTAACAGTAGCCTATAGTTGAGAAAGATCATCTAACACAAAATATATTTTATAATAAAGTGTTGAATATCTCATGTAATTTATTGAATACTGTACTGAAAGTGAAAAACAGAATGGTTGTATGGGTACTTGAAGTGCGGTGTCTACTGAAGCAGATCACTTTCACACCATTGTAAAGCCAAAAAATCATTAAGTTGAACCATTGTAAGTCAGGGGTGGCCTGTATAGATAAATAAGAAAAGTAGCTGGCACCAGCATAGCCATCCCTCTTGCTAATGGAGAATCGTGAACAATGTCCTCTTTCCTCCCACAGACCTGGCCCACTGCCATGCCTATCTGATGGAAATGAGCCAGCTCCTGCAAAGTATGGACGTCCTACATCGGACATACTCAGCACCAGCTATCAACGCCATCCAGGTTAGCCACAATCTTCTTCTGTTTGCATTCTGGCATTCTGCTTCCCTTTCTGCTGCCTAGCCTTTCACTAACAGTGGGATGTTGTCTGGTTGAGTTGGCTTCCGCCAAACTCAAGGGAATGGAGGTGGTCACTTTGCTGTGCATTTATCTCTACTGGTTTGGTGGACCTTACTATCTGTGCTCTCTTTCCTGTTTTGAAACAAAGGGTGGAGCTTTTGAAAGTCCCAAAAAGGAAAAAAGATCGCACAGGAGGTGGCGGTGCAGAGCTATTGGTAAAGATGCTAAAGGAACACTGCAGGTAAACATGCTTCCCCCAACAGGCTGGTTTCTTCATGAGCCCTGCTCTGCATGCCACATGCTGGGAGCTACTTTGACTCACACAGGACACTAGACAAGTGGATATTCTGTAGGTGTTCTCTCCAGTACTCTGTGCACAGAGATGAATTCAGATTTTCTGGATACAAGGATAAGCATGTAATAGAAATTGGGCAGGGAAGAAAATATTTTCTAAGGGAAAAATGGCCACCATTTTTAAAACTTTTGGTTTCCCCTTCTTTAATGTTTGCCTGCCTGCCCTCTTCCCTGCTTTGGTGTGTGGCCTGTTCTGTGGCTGCTGTGGCCGTGTGCTCTGACCCACACCTTCTGCTGATGCTTAGTGGGTGGATCATCCCTCTGAGCCCACAGGCCAGAGTCCCTCAGTGCAGGATGTTGTGCAGACTTTTGCCTCTTATCTCGAAACTCTCCCAATCTCCCATCAGAGGTTCATGCATCATGCTAGGAACTGTCTTTCCAAGCGCAAAGCTAAGTCATATGCTGAGATTTGCAGCTTGGCCGTTGGATATTAAATTGCAAAATTGTTAGATCAAAATAAATCCCAAGCTTTTGATAAATCACCTGATATATTCTTGTACACTCTTTGGTTCAAAGCACTTTGTGGGTTGAACCTAAATACTTTTAAAGAGTGTTCCATATACAAACATGAGAAGTTAGTTTTGTAGAAGCCCCAGGTGCAAATAAAGAAAAGCATTTTTAAACGTATTCACTACTGACAGCCTAGATACTGGATATTATTGTATGGAGGAAGGAACTCAGTATAAATAAGAAAGCTTGGCAGCATTAGTTGTCATTTTCAACCTCTGGCTTTAACGTTCTTATCATTTCCAGTAGAATATGTGATTTCTCACCCATTTTTATTTCACAAGAAGCAAATTGCTGTGGAAAGTGTTTTTCTGAGTTTTATTTTTCTTCTAATTTATCACTTGTAGGAAGACTTACCTATACATGTTCTTCTCTTAATATGCCCCAATCTTAAGACCAAATAAATACAAGGGGAGTTCAAAAAGTTTATGGAAAAATAGAATCAAAAGATAACACGAATCTTTCCATGAACTTTTGAAGTACCCTCATATTCTAAGCAATCTGCATCTGAAAAGAAATATCTCCCTTTGATGTCACTTTAGGTGCCTAAACCTTTCTCTGGCCCAGTAAGACTGCACTCCTCCAACCCTAATTTGTCAACACTAGATTTTGGAGAAGAGAAAAATTATTCTAATGGCTCTGAAACCCCGTCAGAGTTTTCTAAAATGCAAGAAGATCTGTGTCATATTGCCCATAAAGGTAAATGAATTTTCTTTCTTTGTAGTGTGTTTCATGAAAATGTTAAATGCATGTATGAATGTGGGATGTCCTTGGAAAGGGTTTCTTAGTTGGCTCATTTTCTGCTCTATTAAGTTTTTGGGCAGTGTAATTTTTGTTTTATTTTCCTGGTAGTGGAGAATGTATTGACAAGAAGTTTCTTTTTAACCTCAGCGGGGGAGACAGTGAGAGTGTTAAGTATTCTTTCAAAGCTGATAATTCATATAATGCTGATGGGAGTGTAAATTGGTACTTTTCTGAAGGGCAATATTACATTATGTTCCAAGTAGTTTTTTAGGCTGCCTACCTGGCAATTCCACCTTTTTTTTTGGTGGCTGGCCAGAATAGGGATCTGAGCCCTTGACTTTGGTGTTATAGGACTGCACTCAAACCAGCTGAGCTCAATGGCCAGCCCTGCAATTCCACTTTGAAGAATTTATTTGTAGGAATTAACTTCAAATTTATCCAAATAAAGATATCCATTATAGCATTACATGTTTATCCTATGAAAAATTATAATAAGTGTTCAACATCATTAGCCATTAGGGAAATAAAAATTAAAGCCATGATATGATATCACTGCATACCTATTAGAACAGCTAAAACTTAAAAAAAAAATGCAGTACCAAATGCTGGTAAGGATGTATAGAAACTGAATCTCTCATACATTGCCAGTGGCCATGTAAAACATACAACAGCTCTGGAAAATAGTTTGGTGCAGTGTTTTATAAAACTAAACATGGACTTACCATACAACTCAACACTCACATTCCTGGGCATTTGTCCCCCCAAAATGAAAATTTATGTCCACACAAAGACCTATACACAAATGTTGAGAGTTAGATTTATTTGTGTTAGCCAAAGAGTGGAAACAACTCAAATGTCCTTCAACAGATGATAGGTTAAACAAACTCATACATCCATGCAATGGAATACTACTCAGCAAAAAAACAAGGAACAAAGTATTGTTATATGCAGCAACTGGGTTCTATATTATACCATAGTTATGTAAGATGTTACCATTGGGAGGATGGTATAGGGTACATGGCACTGCCCTGTACTGTTTTTGTAACTTCCTGTGAGTCCATAAATATTTCAAAATAAAAAGTTTAAAAATAAAATTTTTAATTACCTAAATGTCCAGCAATAGGGGATTGGATTCTTTTTAAATGCAATATGATCACATAATAGACTATTCAGCTGTAATGTTCATAATAGCTATCTTATATTGAGCACATAGCTAGTATGTCAGGTATTTGCTGAGTATGTTACATGCCTTGTTTCATTTAATTCTAGCAGCAACCCATGAAGTAGATATTATTGTAATCTCCATTGCATTGATAAGAAACCCGAGACTTGGAGAAGCTAAAGAACTTCCTGAGGGTTACATGGTTACAAAGTGGCCAACCTGAGACTTAAATCCTAACCTGCTTGATCCCAAAGTCCCTACTCCTCACCTGTTGTTTCACTGACCCTACAGATGGGGTGGCCAGGGTTATTTTTTATAGACAGAAAAATGTCCACAATATATTATTGAGTAAAAATATAAGGCTACAAAACAATATATAGGTATGATCCCATTTTTTAAGAAAAAAATGTGTCTCTGGCATATATAGTCATACTGAAAAGTCAAGGATGTACACCAGCATTTTGGTGATGGAGGCTAAAGTTATAAGTACCTATCTTCTTTCTGCTTATCTTTTTTTTTTTTTTTTTCAATTTTCATATACTGATTATTTTTCTTAAAGAGAAATGCATTTCGGTGATGGAGGCTAAAGTTATAAGTACCTATCTTCTTTCTGCTTATCTTTTTTTTTTTTTTTCAATTTTCATATACTGATTATTTTTCTTAAAGAGAAATGCATTTCAAAGTTTTAAGTGGGAGGGCAGTGCCTGAAGCTAGAGGAGGAAAGGTGGTCCCTCTGTCATCTTTTTCTCCCAGCCCCATATTTTTCTTCCTTTATGTTGTTGATTCCTTCAGCTTTCTCTTCCCTTACCCCACAAACCTAAAACATATTGGTTATGAGGTTGGTTATAAGGGAACTATGCATGCTTTTTATAGATTCCTACCTCAAACTCTTCTCCTAGTTACTATTAGCATTTTTTAGTGTTTTGCAATACTGTTGTGTGGTCTGTTTGTAAAACGGGAAGAGTTACCTGGCCCACCCCTTAAAAGCTCTTCAAATACCCTCTTGGGCATTCTCTCTTATTAAAACAATCAGTTGTAATTAGGACATTTTAGGTTTTATGGGAGGAAATTCCTATAAAACACCATTACTTTTTAATAATATGAACTGTCTTTTTAAAAATGAAAGGATAATGCCTCCCTACAAAAAGTAAATGTCCTGAAATTTACCTGCAATGAAGAAGCTGCTTCCTCAGCAGGACAAATGTTGCCATATTGAGTAGATCCGATCTCATCCTCCTGCAGAGGTCTCTGTCTTGATGAGTATCTGTAGTGGGCCCCAGCCAGCTGCTCTGTCTTTGGGGCTTTGTGAAAACCAGCTGGCAGAAGAGCTGCCACATACCTGAACTAGGTCGGCATTTGTGCTCTGAGAAAGGTCCAAGTGCACTTAACAACAGCCTGAGCCCCAGGGCTTAGGGATAGCAAATTCCACAGGGAGCCCAACAAGTTGTGTTTCATTCCTGTGGTTTTAAAGTGCACTTGCAAAGACTGAAGGAAGACCTTCCTTTTCCTAGTTCTGGGAGTCTCTTTTACACAGACTCAGGGATCTCATGGAATAAAGACAGCTGTCAGATTTGCCCTGAATCCTGTGACTTTGCGTGCTTTCTCACTTCCATACCTTCATACTCGAAGCATTGGACCTTTCTTCCTGTGTAAGCCTGTTTTGTTGCTAAAGGTGTCTCTTGTACTTTCTTGACTGCATCACTATTCTGTTGACTGTAATTCTGAAGCAGCCGAACTAAAGGCAAGAATTCCACTGATGTAACGTAGTCGGTGTGACCTTCAACTTATTATCTGCATCTGAATTCTCCCAGTTTTGTAGGTCAAATGGTAGGCAACCAGTATATGCCCATCCTACTTTTAAAAGTCCTTGTTGTATATTATAAACTGTAAATTTCATTTTTATGGCATATCATTGAACTAATTCTCATTGGTTCATGTTTCTGGCTTTGTGTGTATGTTGACACACTTCTAAGCAACAGAGAACAAACTGTACTAAAGCCTAAGAGTTATAAGTAATTTATGTTGTATATGTAAACTTTTACATTTCTCAAAATGTGTTTTATGGAACACTTTACCTATAAAATACTCTAAAAAACAAACAAGAATTTCATAATTAAAAATGTTTGGAAAACACTGCTGACCCTTTGGATTTATACAAGAAACAGTGAATAATAAAGTCTCTGAGAAGTCCTGCAGCAAAGAAACCTGTTAGCTTTGTTTAATTCAGTGATTTTCATTTTTATTTGGGAATCTCCCCTCGCCTACCTCACAATCCTCAATAGCTGTTAACATCCTGGAACTAAAGTTCCTGAGAAACATACTTCAGGAAACACTGTCAATAAAAAGCCTTTTTGAAGTTAATCCTCTACGCTGGCTGAGTAGGCCCCCTATGTTACTGACTAGCTGTGGGACTTTGGCTTCACTGGTTAGCATCTTTGGCCCGCAGTTGCTTCATCTGTTAAATGTCTTAAAGTAGTTGTCTTGACTCTTGGCTCTCAAATTCTGTAATTATCTTCTGTGATTGTTTTACACTGAATAGAAAGAATTCACTGTTGCTTATTGTTACATGAAGGCTTTATGAGAGAGTGTTTTATTAGCAGTAGAGACAGAAATGACCAAATGTGGTGAGCAGATTTCAGGTGGAAAAGTAAGGAATAGGATAGGACCAGGGTTAGGCTACTCCAAATGGAAGTAGATGTTCACATTCTGCCTTGGAAGGGAAACAAATGGAGTTTTAGGGATACTTTTCCTACAGGTGAGGGAAATCCTCTTGTACAAATGCAGAAACTAAAAGTAGAACAAAATTAAATGTGTTAACGTAGGGCCGGCCTGGAGGCGCACTCGGTAGAGTGCAGTGCTTGGGAGTGTGGCGGCGCTCCCGCCGAGGGTTCGGATCCCATATAGAGA